CCCCCCCTCCAACCTCCTCACATCCTTTGCCCCCTCCTCTGGGCTTGTGACTCTTTCTGCAGCCTTTCTACAGCTTCTCCTTTGCTACTTCTTACTGCTGTTGTTTTAGTATGAGTTTTACAGCGCTCGCAACTGCATAAGGTCATATGAGTTCTTACTGCTGTCTTTCAGCCACACCCCTGATCTTCTGGTAAGAAAGATCTACACCTAGCCTTCTCGGACAAGGACGAAATATCCCGGAGGTCCCGTGAGCAAGCTGAGCACGTTATGATCCCTTGGTGGTCCAAAATGGATAAGAGTAGGCTTCGGCAGCCACCCGTGCAAAAATCAAAATTTCTCACTAACTGAAAATCTTAGGTGTGTCCCGCGCGCTCATATGACCTTATGCAGTTGCAAGCGTCGTAAATCACTTACCAAAAAAAAAAGAAAAGAAAAGACAGACAGACAGACAGACAGACAGACAGACAGACAGACAGACAGACAGACAGACAGACAGACAGACAGACAGACAGACAGACAGACAGACAGACAGACAGACAGATAGATAGATAGATAGATAGATAGATAGATAGATAGATAGATAGATAGATAGATAGATAGATAGATAGATAGATAGATAGAACATTCGCCTACCTGTACACGAAGAAGCAGCTCGATGGTGCCAGCTGATGTTTCCCTCCGTCTCACTCACGACACAAGATGTGACCCCACTCCCACCTGCTTCGTCCCTGCTCACGCAGTCGTCGTTTGACCCCACGATCTCATCATCGTGACTGCTGTCGCCAGGGTTCTCTCTCTTGACCTCGCATTCATTATCGTCCACAGACCCCACAGAGTTATTGTTCGCTTGACTGACCTCTGAAGAGGGCGCTGTTGGAGCTTTGCTGGTGCAGAACTTGTTGCTAGACAGATCGAGCTTCACTGTGGTATAATTGAAGGTGTCTGGTCTGTCTTTGTTGATGCTGCTCACTGGGCTTCGTAGAATGTTGTCTATAGAATGTCTTACCACTGCTGAGGCCATTGTAACTCTTTTATTAGGCTTACTGGTGACAAACTGCTGCTCTGGTGTCTTACTCGGGACAAAGTTGCTCTAGCTGTGGACACAGGAGAAGCATGTACGGTACGTATTATTGTTGGTTCATCGTCGACATTCAGTAAAAGTACAGCTGCGATGACACTGCTCAGAGATTATTCTTTTCGACCGCGGCAAAAGAGACACCATTCATTAAATCAAAGACATGAAACGTAAAGGCAATTACTGAAACAACCCCATTTCATTCGCACCCCCTACTTAAATAAATAAACAAATAAGATATAAATAAAGAAAGAAAGAAATGAATGAAAGAATGAATGAAAGAATGAATAAATGAATAAATGAATGAATGAATGAATGAATGAATGAATGAATGAATGAATGAATGAATGAATTTAATTTAAAAATAAATAAATAAATAAATAAATAAATAGGGAAAGTCAAAGCTTTTAATCAATTAATAAATAAATACATTAGGCCGTTATAAGCAAAGAGAGAGAACGTATCACTAATATACATTTGTACATATATGTATAACAAAGGGACAGAAGACGGGAAAACCCCCTGTTTAATTTTTTAAATAATTGTATCGATCTACATAATGTACTTTTTCTTTCTATTTTAATCATTAAGAATTTGAATTTCGACAAATATAATTTTATCTCTTGGGCACGTGCCAAAAACATCATAAATTAAGAAACTGCAACGAAAACGATTTATAACTGCTGCCGAAAGATGGGTGAACATCGCCGAGTAGTTAGCTATCCGTTTGTGAGAAATCGGGGAGTCAACTCAACAAACCATGAATGAAGCTGATCTGGCCAGTGTATAACAGCCAAACTAGACATCCCTAACAATGGTATTGCATAGGTCTACAATAATGTAAACAATAATGTTGTTTAAAATGTGAGGGTTAAGATTTGATACTTCGTCTTCCTGACGACCAAATAATATTAATATTTGAAAAAGAAATAATTATTTCTATTTTCAATTTCATTTCATTCCTTATACAATTTTTTCTTTTATTTAACAGCTTTTTTGGGGTTTTTTCTTGGGGGGGGGGGATGAGACACTATTGATCCAAATTCAAGAATAGCCTGTTGTGGATTTGAACTTGGGTTACGCACACAGTGAAGTATCAAAAGTGTGAACTGCATGTTTTTTTCTCAAAAACAATTAGACGGCTGGCAATGTTTGTAAATGTTTCAAGTCTCTTCCTGTTTTGACCGCTTGTCAATTCTCAAGCTCGTTAACTTTTAAAAAAGTAAGCAAAATGATGAAACAACCCCCCCCCGCCCCAAAAAAGAAAAAAACAACAGCCTCAAAACAAAAACAAAATTAAAAACTCCTCCCGCCCGCACTCCCCACAACCTCAACAATACCTATCCCAGCCCCCCCCCCAAAAAAAAACAAAAAAAACCCCAACCCAACAAGCCAACCACCCCCACCCCCCAAACAACAACAACTGCTACAACAACAACAAAATTACATGTATTCAAAAGTAAATAAAAATGAAAACGTTCACTCAAGTCGAAAACAACCCATAGGCGCCGCCAAAGGAATATCTTTGTACTCTATTTTACAGCATGAAGCCAGAACCGCTAAACACATAGAGCCATTGGACTGAGATGAGGTGCCAAAAGAGGCAAAGAGTTTGCTAAAGAGGAGACAGATATTAAAATGATATAAAAGAAAGAAAAGATACACGGATCACTGACCGATACTTTAAAAGTGACAGTGGTCCATACAGTCGAACTTGTTAAATCAGGGGGTTCTTTTAACTTTTGCCGGTGTATTTCTTTATGTTTCACTTTGCTTTTGTGTTTATTTTCTTTTTTGTCACTAAAATATGCAATTACTAAACATTTCTAAGATGCGGGAAAATCCCGGTAAAAGCGTAGTTAATTCACCTTTCTAAACGCAATAATGAATAATATTAAAGTTCAGAAATTCATTATGCCTTTGTCCAGTACGAACGTTAATGAATAACAAAACGGCAACATTTACAACATGAATTGCCTTCACACAAATGAATACCCTCAATTCCCTTTTTAAAAATATACGAGCATGTTTCTTAAAAGCATGTGAAATGAAAGTAAAAAACAGCAACAACCAAACCAAACACATTAAAGCAAAGTAAAACAGACAAACAAACAAACACAAAACACAAAAACAACACACCAAAAACACCTAACACCTTCAACCTCCGGGATATCTAAGAGGAATAGATCATGGTCAGTGGAAAGAAAGGGACGCGGAGAGTGTTCTCTGACAAAGAACTCGGTTCAATAAACTCTTCCTCTTCCCTGACTGACCATGATCTTATTTCCTAAAAGATATTCCCGGAGGTTGAAGGTGTTTAGGTTGTTTTTTGGCTGTGGTTTCTTT